ACTGAGATGGAAATGATGGAGGAAGGGTGTCCCCTCCAGGAAGGGCAGGACCTAGAAGGTTCTATGGTTCAGAGTTATCAGCATTACAGGTAGCAGATAATCCCCATCTTAGGCAAGTTGATACCAAGAATAGCGAAGGGCACAGGAGGAGGGAAGCAGCTGGTTTCGGTTTGGAGGATGGTGTAAACTACAAACCAAACCAGAGAGAGCACAGCACGGAGACTGCTCAACAACATTATACTCAGCGCAAGAAGCCAGACACAGATGGCGACACACTGAAGGGCTCTGTTTGTAGGAAATCTCCACGCTGAGCAAACCATGGAGACACAAGGCAGGTTGATGGTTACCAAGGGAAAAGGGAGGGGAGGGGAGGGGAGAGGAGGGGAGAGCGGTAACTGCTCAGCGAGTACAGGGTCTGTTTTGCGGTGATGGAAATGTTCTGGAAACAGAGGTGGTGGCTGTACCGCTGTGCGTGGACCAAATGTTGTTGGGCTGCTTGCTTTCAAGGGGTTAATTCTGTCATGTAAATTTCACCTCGATTAAAAACAAAAACAGGCGAGACTGTGGACCAACATAGGAAAATTGACACCAACCTTTAATACTGTCCCTAGAAGCAGAAATCCAAAATAAAACACTGCTAGCCAAATCTCACAGTGGGGGGGGGGGGATTGTATCACGACCAAGGACGATTTGGCCCAGAAAGCAGAGAGGAGTTAAACGCAGAAAATCAGGCAGCTGACAACTTAGATCCGTCAGCTGACAGGCTTGTTTCTGACACAGACGCCTGGTTTTGCCACGACACCATGTGTGTGTTCCCTGAATTCAGACCTGGGAACCCTTGCAAATCTGCTAGAGCGTTAAAGAAAGAAGAAACCATCTTAAGAAAAATATGAGCATAGGGGTGCCTGGGTGGCTCAGTCGTTTAAGCAGCTGGCTTTGGCTCAAGTCGTGATCTCACAGTTCTTGTGGGTTTGAGTCCCACATCCGGCTCTGTGCTGACAGCTCAGAGCCCAGAGCCTGTTTCAGATTCTGTGTCTCCCTATCTCTCTGACCCTCCCCTGCTCATGCTCTGTCTCCTGAAAGTGAGTAAATATTTCATACAATTTTTAAAGATAAACACAAGCATAATTTAAAAGACTTGTTATATTTCTTTTTTTAAAAATGTTTATTTATTTTTGAGAGACAGAGTGTGAGCAGGAGAGGAGTATAGAGAGAGGGAAACCCAGAATCGGAAGCAGGCTCCAGGCTCTGAGCTGGCTGTCAGCACAGAGCCTGACGCGGGCCTCGAACCCACCAACCGCGAGATCATGACCTGAGCCGAAGTCGGATGCCCAACCGACTGTGCCACCCAGGCACCCCAGTGAATTTATTTTCTACACGTATTAGAAATATAACAAGTCTTTTGGGGCGCCTGGGTGGCTCAGTCGGTTGGGCGTCCGACTTTGGCTCAGGTCATGATCTCGCGGTTCGTGGGTTCGAGCCCCGCGTCAGGCTCTGTGCTGACAGCTCGGAGCCTGGAGCCTGCTTCCGATTCTGGGTTTCTCTCTCTCTCTGCCCTTCCCCCGTTCATGCTCTGTCTCTGTCTCAAAAAGAAACTATAAGGAAAAGAAAAGAAATTCGACTTTCAAACCAAAGCCCAGAAATTCTGACACCTGCTGTGTCATGGACACATCTTGAACACACAATGTGAGGAATAGGACCCAGGCACAAAAAGGGAATACTATAGGATTCCACTTCTGTGAGGTCCCTAGAGAAGTCTAATTCAGAGATAGAAAGTAGATAGATGGTGGGAGCCAGGGGCTGCTGGGGGCAGGGAGAGTCAGTGTTTCACGGGGACAGTCTCTGTTTTGCAACATGGAGAGTTCTGGAAGGGGGCGGTGGGGAGGGTCGCACAAGGAGAATGCGCGTGTTGCCACTGAACTGTGCACCTAAAAATGATTAGAACGGCAAACCCCACGCTATGTATCTTTCACAAGAAGAAAAACACAAAGGTGAGGGTCCCCGGATGGAACAGAGAGCAGGGAAGGGTGGCGGCCAAAGCAAACGCACGAACACCGGGAAGAGGGGCCGAACGAACCCAGACGAACACGTGGTGAAAAGGAACCTCGTGGCCGGATGGCAAAGGCAGAGAGTGCCACCTGCAGGCAGCTCGCGGTCGGCGCACCGAGGCCACTGCCATTTCCTCCATACGGTCACCATTCCCCCACCCTCCTGGCAGACTATAACGCATCGCATCGCTGAGAAAATAGAAACCAGCCCGCAGTCATCACCCCCAACAACCTGCCCACCTGCACCCAGCCCCGCCTCCCCTCTGCCGCCATGAGTAAACAGCGTGCCCGGAACCCAGGCAAAGCCAGGCAGCCACCAGCGCACTGGCCCATGTGGGGAGCCACCCGGCAACCCCCCCACCCCGATTATTCCCATCAGCACACAAATATGCCAATTCATCTTTCACCTTTTTTTCCCTTTTAATGGTTTGGATTGATCACTGAGATGAAATCCACGTAACGTAACATTAAACTTCACCGGCATATAGTACATTTAAAAGTAAACTTTGGTGGCATTTAGTACATCCACAAGCCTGTGCAGCCACCGTCTAATTCTGAAACAGATCCACGTGGCAAAGAAGCATATGAAAAGATGCTCCACGTCATCTGTCACCGGGAATTGGAAATTAAAACAAGATACCAGGGCGCCTGGGTGGGTGGCTCAGTCGGTTAAGCGACCTACTCCTGATTTCGGCTCAGTTCGTGATCTCACGATTTGTGGGTCTGAGCAACGCGCTGGGCCCCTTGGGACGCCGTGCTGATTGGGATTCTCTCTCTTCTTCTCTCTCTGCCCGTCTCCGGCTCACTCTGTCTCTCTCTCAAAAAAATGAATACACTTAACAACAAGATACCGCACAGCTATTAGAATGGCCAAAATCCGAACACTGACCTCACAGAGGGCTGGTGAGGACGCGGGGTTAAGAGGGACCCCATTCACTGCTGGTGGGAAGGCAAAACGGTCCAGCCGCTCCGGAAGACGGTTTAGCGATTTCTGACAAAACTAAACATATCCTACGAAGCCATCTTACCATACAACCCAGCAATCGTGCTTCTTGGTATTTACCCAAAGGTATTGAAAACGTATGTGCACATAAAACCCTGCACTCAGGTGTTTTATAGCAGCTTTATCCATATTTGCAGAGAGTTGGAAGCAAACACAATGTAGGTGAAACGGACACATATACTGTACGACCTCCAGACAGTGGGGTATTAGCGCTAAAAAGACGTGAGCTGTTACACCAGGAAACGACATGGAGGAACCTTAACTGCATATCACTAAGTGAAAGAAGCCAGTCTGCAAAGCCCATAGATCGTAGGATCCTAACTCCCGATATTCTGGACAAGCTAAACTATGGAGGCAATAAAATGACCAGAGTTGGGGGGAGGAGGGAGGGACAAATTAGCAGAGCACAGAGGGCTTTTCGGGCAGTGAAAATACCGTATATGATGTTATAATGGCGGACACGGTCATCGCCGTGCTTGTTGGAACCCACAGGCTGTCCACCACCAGGGGTCAACCTTAAAGTAACTCACAGACTTGAAGCCATGGCGATATATCAACGCGGTTCCAGCAGTTGTAACAAATGTATCCCTGGGCTGTGCTTATGCCTGGGTAGGAGGTAGATGTACGGGAAGCCTCTGTGTGTTCCTCAGAATTTTCCTGTGAACCTACAATTGATTTAACAAATCGTCTTTAAAAACACTTAAACCCAGGCGCCTCCGTCGGTTAAGTGTCAGACTCTTGGGGGGCGCCTGGGTGGCTTAGTTGGTTAAGCGTCCGACTTTCACTTAGGTCATGATCTCGCAGTTCGTGGGTTCGAGCCCCGCGTCGGGTGCTGTGCTGACTGCCAGCTCAGAGCCTGGAGCCTGTTTCAGAGTCTGTGACTCCCTCTCTCTCTGACCCTCCCCTGCTCACGCTGTCTCTCTCTCTCCTAGAAATAAATAAAAAAAAAAACATTAAAAAAAAAAAAGTGTCAGACTCTTGGTTTCGGCTCAGGTCATGATCTCCCAGTTTGCCAGCTTGAGCCCCACATCAGGCTCCATGCTGGCAGCAAGGAGCTCGCTGGGGATTCACCCTCTCACCTCTCTCAAAATAAATAAACTTTTAAAAAAATAAGCACTTTTTTCTCACCCCCAAAATAAAACCCTGTACTCATGAAGCAGCTGATGGCCATTCCCTGCTTCCCCGACCCCCGCCTGTCCCAGGAAACCATTAACC